ATATGGAAGCAGCAAATGGAGGATAAGACATAAAGTCCTAGGCGAGATAATATTTATTTTCTAACAACCCTTAGCTCCTGCAAAAACAAACTTTCCTTATTAAGAAAAATGTTTCATTGGGTAACATCCTTTCCCATAAACATCTATTGTCATAACCATACTGTCAAATAAATCCTTATTTAAGACTTAAGATCAAACTATGTAATTAATAACAATTTTCCCAGGCTAACAAAACATACAAAAAAAGACTTCAAATGCCCAGACAAACGTAAATAAAATACTTGGCTACCAAAGCAATTGCGTAAAGTGGAGATAGAAAATATTATTTTAATTTATCCATGTTTTCTAAGGAAAATAAAACGTTTAATACAAGAAGCAATAAAATTTCTATATGATACAATCTCCAGCTAAACAAGAGTTAGGTAGAGAAAGCACGCAGGGTACATAGCAGCCTTTCAAGACTAAATACGTCACCAAGCTATGCGGAAATCATGAAATCGGAAATGGATGAGGTTATTCTCGACCGCTTTATTGTCAGCCGAAATGAACAGTAGAGCTTCAGGTGCTTCCATTATGGGTATATATGATTTGATAAGGCCAAATCCGTTTTAGGACATTTGGAGTCGATCTACGGGTATCCGTCCGTCTGGCTTTCTGGTGCGCTCATTAACTCTCGATAGTAGTATCCGATTTGGTCCTAACTTGGTGCATCGTAATACTCGATCTAGTTCGGAGACAGACAATATCGGTTTAATCCTTTTGGTACCTCCTCCACAAAAAGTCAAAATTTTAACACACAAATAATTAACGACATAGAACAAAATTAAATCATTAAATTTTGGGCAAAGTTTGGAAATCCTAACAGTTCTATTAGTTCTAGGTCATGTGCGAAATGGGCAATGCCGACCCACTCCATCATGATTCATTTTTGGTTCGTAGGTGTGTGATAAAGCTGGGTTTTTGGAAATTCGTTCTAAAAGGGTAGTAAAAGTACTAAAATACACTAAAAACTGAATACTTTGTATTGGACAAACGGAATGAGCTTGAAAATGGGAGTATGAACCACTGATGGAGTCCAGGATATATGTACCATAGGGTTTTTTGGAAATTCGAACTTCAAGTTCTAAAATGGTACTTAACTTCCACAATGGTACAAATTAGTATAATGTGAACGGATAGAGTTAAAAATTTGGAATTTGGTATGAGAATCAAAGATGAAGGTGGTTTTGGAAATATGTTCTAAGGGTACGAACTGTACTCAATGGAACTGATTGTGGAACAGTTGGTTAAGGGTGGAATGATGAAGCTGCAATTTTTAAATTTTGTGCAGGGGTCCCTGTTGGTGGTAGGTTTAAAGGTAAAGAGGTGGTTTTGGAAATGTGTACTACAAGTTCACGAAAGGTATTAAATAGTACTATACTTGGTAAAATTTGGTATTGTGTGAAAAGATAGGGCCAAAATTACTGAATGGTACCATATTTGCTATTGGGTGAAGGAATAGGTTGAGGGGATGCAATTTGATATGCAGATTACTAAGGGTATATGTATTTGAGATTTAGCGGTGGATTAGAAGTGTTTCCAATATTTAAACGAAAAGTACTAAATGGTACTGAATTTTAGATTGGTCGAAGGGGTAGGCCTGGAATTCTTAAACTTGACATTCCGGTCGTTGTTGGTGTATGTGGTTAGAATATGGAGGTAGTTTTGTAAAGTGCTAAGTAGTACTCATTTTGGATTACTATTGGTGTCTAGAATGGAGAAATGTAGATTGTTTAGGAAACGTGTACTAAATGTTACAAAATTTGGCATTTGGTGAAGGGATAGAGCTCAAATTCTGAAATTTAAATCCTCAAATTTAATTTTGAGATCACTGTTGGTGTTTGTATTTAAAATATGTAGATTTTTCCAAAAAAAGTACTAAATTGAATTAAAATTGGCTCAAGCGACAAAACTGAAACCGCGAAATTGTATGTTGCGATAACTCTTTGTTTCTAGGATAAAGATATGGAAGGGTCTTGCAAATGAGTACTAAAATTATACGGAAGGTACTAAATGTTACTAAAATTGGTATTGTGTAAAGTGTTGGAGCTTAAAACCCGGAATTGTATATTGAGGTTCCTGTTGATATCTAGAAGTGAGATCTTGAGGTTGTTTAGAAATATATTCTATAATTACTCTAAAAGTACTAAATGGTACTTAATTGGCTATTGGGTGGCAAAGATTGAGCTCTGATTTCCAAAATAGATACTAAGGTATCTATTGGTATCTGGAAATGGTTTTGGTATCCATTCGAAAACTACTAAATATTACTGAATTTTGTATTGAGAAAAGGAATGGAGTGGAATCTCGTAATCTGATATGGCTGTCACTATTGGTATGTGTGGTTGAGAGAAGATTTGGCAATGGGGGAAATTAGAGAGCTGAAATTCTGATATTTTATGTTAAAGTCACTGTTGGTAATTGAGGTTGAGAACTCGTTTTGACACAATAATTGCTGGAAAATGTTGGAACATTGTTGGTTTGTAGAACGGAGAGATGTAGATATTTTAGGATATTCGTGCTAAATGTCACAGAATTTGGTATTGAGTTAAGGATGGAGATACAATTCTTAACTTTAATTTACATATGGAGATGTCGAAAATTTTTTGGACCGAAACATGTGATGTGGGTCCATTGCACAATGGCTTGGTAGACTTGGTAGACTCCTTGGTAGACTTTAAAAATAAAGATTTTGAAGACATTGTGGTGTAAAAGGTAAACATTCCCCCATAATTTTTTTAAGGAAAAAAATTAATTCTGTAAAAAAACCTTGAACGTCTAAAAATTTAGTACTAGATCTGCTATGAGTATGGTAGATATCGGTGCACTCCTTCTGGTACCTCCCTCTCAAAAGCTTACCATTTTTAGAGCTTCAAAATTTGGCAGAACAATTTGAATTGTGTCCAGGATTGTTGGCCCCCATTTAACGGTACCTTTAGATATTAGGTATTTTAAGGGTTTTAGTTAATTTTTTTTTACGGATTTGTCAAAAAATTTGCATTTGTAATTCGTAACGGGTTCCAGTCCGGTGGCGAAACATTACGCTTATAAGTCGGCAATTTCGTAATTCCCATGTAATATTCGGTATTTTGATGTCTTTCGCCACATTTCTTCATGGATTTTCGGAGGGTAGTAAAAAATGGTCCGGTCCGGTCTTTTTTTAATTGTTTTTTGTCTTTATTTGTCGGCCCCGAATTTCGAACTCATAAATTACGTTTTTATATTCGACGTGCAGACTCTGCCTCGATTCTACCCATTACTGGCAAATGAGGAAAATAAATTTCTTTCCTTTGTTATCTTTTAAGGAATGACTCATTGTTTTTAAAAACGGTTAAGGTAACAATGTATGATTAATATTATTATTACCAAAAGTATTTTAAGTATTTTTCTAAAATATCCATGTCATCTTCGATAATGCTTCCCAGCTGTATATAACGTTTAATGCTCACAAATGCAGTTCTTATAATTGACCTCAAATCTTCTTAGGGACCTTTAGCATCATTATACCCTCAGCCATATGGCTACAAAGGGTATATATCATTTAATACGGTCAAAACGTGCACAGTCGAAATAACGGTTTTAGACTCTAGGTCTCTTTGGACAAAATCCGTTTCATATTTGGAGTCGATCTAGCAGTGGCTGGTGCGCACGATAACTCTCGAAGGGAGTATCCGATTTGGTTCAAACTGGGTACATAGTAATATTTTTGTCAAACTTAGATCGAGTTCGGAGATGGGCAAAGGTCGAAATTTTCAAAAAATATATTTCCTGCACAGAAAGAGAAAGGATGATCCGATTTTGGCTTCACTTTGCAAATCCTACTATTTGCGTCAGTGCTATGTCAGGTGCGAATATGGACAATATCGGTCCACTCCATCAGGTACCTCCCCCACAAGGGGTAAAAATTATAACTTTTATAAAATGTGATGCAAGTATCTGAACGTGCTAAAATTTCACACATCCCAATATTTTTATAAACCCAAGATCTGGTATTAAGATGGAATATATCGGTCCACTCCTTCTGGTACCTCCCCCACAAAATGTCGAAATTTTGAAGAACCATGTAGCTCATAAAACTCCAAATTAACATCCGATTCCATTTAGACTTGGCACATCTTAATATTTCTATCAACACAAGATCTGTTATAAAGATAGATTGAACCATATCTACTGGTACCTCCCTCATACATGGGGTTCATGATTTTGAAGTAACAAAAGCTCAAAAAAAGCGAAATAAACATCCAACTATCTGCAAATTTCACACACACAAACATTTTTGCTAACACAAGATCTGTTGTGAAGTTGATATATATCTGCGAACCCCTTCTGGCACCTCACCTACAAAATGTCACAATTTTTAATAATTTTATTTGTCATAACCTTCGAAGCAATTTAGCAATTCTTTACTACTTGCTATTCCCAAAAATTTCTCTCAATAAGAAGCCTGATATAAATATGAAATTTATCGGAATTTATAATTTCGCATAAAATTGGACATAAATATCCCTTTTTTTGTAATTTTGCCCAATATTTTGGTCAATATTTTTTTATTAGTTTAAGATGAAGTATAAAAATTGAATATTTGGGTAGACTCTATCTGGTACATCAGGCACATTTTAACAATTTCTAAAAATTATTACATATCTCATATAAAGTGAAGGAGTAAGTCGATGTAATCCATACCAGGAAAGTCGCAATAATTATATCGTATTTTTGGGTTCTATACGTAATGGACAATATTGGCCCATTCCTTCGGAACCTGCTCCATAAAGGGTCAAACGTTGGAATAATCGTAACCATAGCCAAAATATATTTGAATAATCGAACATAGAATGAGGGTATATATATGTCGGCAATGTCGACTGATACTTTTTAACTTGTTTATTTATTTATTTAAAAAAATCTTAAAACGTACATTTGATATTCAGTAATATTGAAACTCCATTTAATTCCCCACTTACCTCACTATCATTGCTGTGCAATATAAGCCGATATCCGGGCAATAAATTCTTCTCCTTATTTACATCATCCAATGCCAGTTTTGCTGCTGGCATACACGCCTGACCACCCTGCCATCCTCCTTTGCCTGCTATGGGAAAGATACCACCTATGTGTAAATCATCCAGGCTACCACCGTCGGTTGAGGCGATTTGATTGAAAATCAAAGGGAAAAATAAAAATATCCAAAATGTTAAAACACCATCACATGTCATATCCTGCAAAGAAAAAAAGGAAAAATCGAAGAGAATTAGTGTTGGTTAAAACAAATATTTTACGAAAATGGAAAAATAAATGAATACATTTTTTTGTACAGCAAAAATGTTGCAGGTGAGAAAAACAAAAAAAAAAAAAAAAAAAAGAGTTTGTACTGCATGGGAATTAAGAGAGTAATTTGATTAAATGGACATCGTTTCCTGAAAAAGAGAAACAAATCAGCTACAAAAAGCAATCAGCATTTTTACATTGGGGCATCAAATTGCTAAAGCTGTGCTTTACGGGAAAGAATTCAAAATTTAATGTTCATTTTATATTTTGATATTTAGAAAAATAATTATTTAAATATATCAGAACAGACTAGAAAGGACACATATGGGTTATATTGATTCCCATCAAAGACAATTACCACAATAAAAGCTTCTTATGAAAACGTACCCAAATATTTTCTTACTTTCAAAATAAATTGGTTTCCTTTCCTTTAATTTTCTTTTTAAATAAAACAAATAATGTTTTTAGGTAAACTCTAAAATTTTATATTTCTGTCTTTACCATTTTTCATTGAAGTACGAAGCAACCCCATCATTTTTTACCTTCTCTTTCTCTATTTAAAACCTTAAATCAATAAAATCCTACTTGAATAAATTCCTCTATTCCTTTAGGCCATTTAATGAAGAGTGGAAACATCTCAGCCGGAACACCAATATAAACAAAAATAACAAACAAAAATTATTCGAACATTAATTAAGCTTAAACAAATAATTGGCAAAAATATTGTAGATGTAAACAAAACAAGAACAAAAACAACAACGAAATATACCAACAATATTGTGATGGGAAGACCTATAAATATAAACCAAAAATTCTGTAAAGGGAAGTGGAAATACAGAATGTTGGATTTTAATTAGATAGGTAATTAAAAGAAAATAATGATGGAAATAAATAGAAAGCAACTATGAAGTTGGGAAAGTAAACCTTTTGTAAATAGTAATAAATAACAAGTAAAAAAGCAGTATGTTCGGCCGGGCCGAACTTTGAATTTAAAAAAATATTCAAAAAAAAAAATCCACCAAAAATTCTGCTAAAATCTTTAAAATACCTAATACCGGAAGATGTCGATATATGGGGAGATATACAATATTGTGGACCTATATAGACAAAGCTCTGTCTAGGGTAAAATATTCACAAAGAATACGCTGTGTAGAAATTCAGACAATTCCATTGAAAAATGTGGCTAAAAATATTAAAATACCGAATATCAGGGGCTATCATTATATGTGGGATATATAGGCCTATATGTGTGGGCACATATAGGCAATTCTCTTTCAGGGGGTAAAGTACTCACAAATAACACCTTGTGTAGAATTCCATTGAAAAATGTGGCTAAAATCATCAAAATACCGAATATTGGGGGGTAACATTATACTGGGGTTATATCGTAGACCTATATAGATATTTCTCTTTCAGGGGATAAAGTGCTCACAAAGAACTCCTTGTGTAGAATTTCAGACAATTCCGTTGAAAAATGTGTCTAAAATCATCAAAATACCGAATATCGGGGGTACCGTTATATGGGGGCTATACGATATCGTGGTCCGATATAGCCCATCTTCCAACTTGACCTGCATGCAGACAAAAGACAGATCTGTGCAAAATTTTAGCTTCATATCTTAATTCGTTTTGACTGTAGCGTGATTACAATAGACAGACAAACGGACGGACAGGGCTAAATAGTCTTTCTTGGGTCTAAAATGTTTATTTCGATGAGTTACAAGCGGAATGACGAACTTAATATACCCTCCATACTATGTATGGTGGAGGGTATAAAAATGTTTATTTCGATGAGCTACAAGCGGAATGACGAACTTAATATACCCTCCATACTATGTATGGTGGAGGGTATAAAAGTGAGGCTTATGCGCTACACAAGGAAGGAAAGATGAGACAGTGTTTTTTACAATAAATTGTCAATGTGTGCCAAAATGTAATTTTTGACTGATTTATTGTAAATTTAGCCCTGTCGACCCTACTTGTAATAACCAATATCACGAGTTATTTTTTTTGGAACTGGAAACTGAAACTATTTTTCCAAATATATTTCACTAGAAAATGTCCCCATCTTCGCTAACAAAATTTAGAAATTATCCTTAATGACTTTTACTGATTAGAACATCTCAATTGACCAAAAGGCAGATCGTAACCTTCCGTTGGTATTCTGAACTATTTAGGTATTTGGTTCTATGTGAACACACTATCATCGTCAAATTACTGATATGAGCAACATAATGACCATACCATGATAAAACCCTTCCAACCTTGTAGGATGGTACAGCTACCTTAAATCTCTATGCATGAAAAATAAATTTCACTGCATTAGTCATTGAAATTTTCTGAAATGTATGAACCAATTTTCTTTATACAAATTTCATATGTAAGATTACGCCTATACCAAGGTTTATATGTTTAGGCGGTGTCTGTATTGATTTATGTTACAGCCATTTTATTGCATCCATTTCGAACATGTATGTGGAAAATATTCCATTGAGAGACAGACTGATTCAATGCCAAGGCAAAACAGCAACCAAAAATTCCTACCCATGGTGGTTTTTAGAAATTTGAACTATTTGTGTACTAAGAGTAATAGGCACTATAAGTGTACTAAATGTACTCAAAATTGAATCATTTATATTCGTCAACGATAGAATTCTCAAAGATAGAATTCTGAAATTTTGAATGAGGTTTGTTGAATGGGTGTTGTACAGATGTAGTTTTTCCTTAATGGAAATTCCTATTTTCCTTTTAGTAAACTTATGGTACTAATAGTATTAAGATGCATGATTTTGATACCATTTGATATTCTATGAACAAATAGAGCTAAAATCTTGACAACTATATATACATAGATAGATAGGTGAACCTTGCGTTAGAAATTAATGTTCTCTGGACTTCGTAATGCGATGTTGTTTCTAAGTTAGTCTTGTAGATTATTTTGTTCTTAAAACATGCGGTGTAATAATGTTATAATATTTTTGCAAAAACTTAAAAAATATCTCACCGACATACGCAAAGAATAACCCCAATGCAAATTTTTAAATTTCTTGGTCTTATCGATAACACTTTTGTATCATTTAGTACGTTTGCCATTGAAATTAGAAATCCATAACTCACTCCAGTCCTTATCGATCAATAATAATTTTGCTCCATTCAGATATGTTCGTAGCTTTAAAGTAATAAGTTGTGGGTATTATGATCCCACAATTACTATAATGAAATTCGTACTGTATGTGATATCGTGTTTAAAATCAATTTTTAAAAAACCCGCCTTATTTCATCCAAAATTAACCTCAACCAAAATTTCACAGCATCATACTACGAGTTGCTCTTGTTGATGGTTCGATAACAATGTTGCACCATTTAGAACTTTTAGTATTTCTATTTTACCCAAAATTTTAATTTTTAGCACTAACGAATTAACAATTTCGTACATTTTAGAACACTTTAGCGCTTTAGACTTAGAACATTTTAGCCTTAAAGTAGGAATTTTACTAACACAACTTTTTACAAAAGGATTCCTAGACTTTACTAAACTCCTAAATTTTAATGATTATTTCATATAAATGTTATAAAATGTCGTACCTTTTAGTACTTTTCGTTCAATTGATATATGGATTTCCAAAATTTCAGAGATTTCCAAAAATGCAGAGAATCCAACACTTTGCAGGAAGATGAACTAGGGTTCACGCAAAATGAAAACACAAACATTTTTGTACTGTCTAGTACTTTTTCTAACTTTAAAGTACGAATTAAAAAAAAAAAAAAACACCTTGTCACATCCCTTCTCAATAATAATCACCCTCATGCTAAGCTCTTTCAATCGCTCAGTACAAAGGTCAAAAAATCCATATTATATCGCCCATCCATACTAGGACTGTCCTTCGTATAAAACTCCAAAGCCTTAGATATTTTCGATCGTTTGATAACAGTGCCGCACCATTTGCATTAAGTATTATTTTTAACTTTTGTCGTTCCAGAACCACATTTAAGTGAGTTTATGTATTTACTTTTACATTTACATTACTTTTTAGAACATATTTCTACACATTTTGCAGTTAAGGAATAATTAACATCAGCAGTGATCCTATGATAGATTTAAGAACTAGTACTCTTCTCCATCACACTGAGTACATTCTGGTCGCTTCTAGTACCAAAAATACCTACACCTCAATATTGCCTTAAACGCATAATTTGAAAATTCCACCTCTAAAAAATAGAATTTCATTTTAAAATCACATATATTTAAGCACGAATGTCAGCCTCGTGATTTTGGAATTTTTTTTTAAAACACCGCCTTAACGACATACCTACCCATCAACAGCTAGCTGCATGCCGTGAACTATTCTTCTGGGTGTTGATGAGCCAATCAATTTCTTTATTAAGAAATATGGTTCTCCTAACGTATTTGATTTTATTTTTAATAATCAGCATTGTCCATGTTCCAAATTGAAAATATGTGTCACTAACTATTGTGTAGGGTACTTAATACTCAATTCGCACTCATCCTTTAATTGTTATATTGGCTCCCAATTTGCATATCAACTGAGCAAACAATTTGTCATATTTCATGTTTGTTATTAATTACCTCCTCTGTCTATAACAATGATAATGGAACATTGTTACCAAAGGTAGAAATTATAAAATAATAATGGAAAAATAATAAATGCTGTAGCTATAATGAATCAATAATATTTACATAAATTTACAACATGCCAAGTGATTTGTTAGATATCCATTAAAACTACGTATGAAAAAGGTCATATAAAACTTGGTATTAGGGGAAGGAATGAAATTTGCAATGTGGGTTTCGATGTGTGCAGGATACACGAGCAAAGGTTTGTGAAGTGCACCAAAGGCACTAAAATTTACTAAATTGGGCACCAATTGGAATTATGTGAACGGATAAAGAATTAATTTGTACTAAATATGGCATACAATGAAGGAATAG